GCCAGTGTGGCTCAGTTGGCTGGAGTGTTGTCCTGTGCACCGAGGGATCACTGGTTAGATTCCGGGACAGGGCACAGGCCCAGGTTGCAGGTTCTATCTCAGGTTGGGGCACCTAGAGAAGTCAACCAATCGATGTTTCTCTCTCACTTTGATCTCTCGATCTCTCTCTCTTAGCCCCTTTCCCTCTCCATTCCTCTCTCTCTAGAATCAATGAGAAACCCATCTTTAGGTGAGGATTTTGTTTCAAAGCCAGGTAAAGTAAAGTGAATGTGACAGCCCCCTAAACCTTAACTAAATTTTTATGGGCTCACAACACACTAGGACATGATTCCTGACCTACTGATCCACGCCTAGTTTCCCCACCATCGATCTACTTTTATTAATTTGAACAACTATTTCTTGAATCCATCTAAGCCAGACACTGTGGTAATGGTATTTGTCCAACAGGAGAGAATGCAGGCTCTGTGTGTGTGTGTGTGTGTGTGTGTGTGTTGTGGATATTAGCAACCCCCACCTTTAATTTATATATATATATACATATTGAACAAATATAAAGTGCAAAAGTGGAAGTAACATGCATTATGACAAATGCATTTACTACTTGCTCTTGATGTGGGATGAAAGAAAAAGTAGTAAAATGAAACAAAAACCCAAAGCCCTCAAATGGTTAAAAGTCATAGGAGACCATGGCTTATAACATACACCAGAAGCACCACCTGAGCCTTAAATTATGCTCACTTTGCTATAAGGTAATGCTAGAAACAGCAAGATTATCTTGAATTGTTGTTGATGAATGTATTATCTTTTCATTCCACAAAAATGGAAGGGAAATAACTTTAGATGAAATCGAATGAGAACTGGCACAATAGACAGTTATGGCTCCTCAGGAAGAAATAGAGAGATGCTATCTGTCTTGTAAAGATATTTTAGACAACTTTTGAGAAGTGGGCTACGTACAACCAACCTGCTCTATTGATTAAGCTGGATTGGATATATAGCGCTCTCCGGGGGTGAAGACAGATATAAGCACTAAAGCTGTTTTATGGGAAAGTTACTGTCTGCATGAACTGAGCCACTTTAAATATTAACTTTCTACATTCATATTTTAATATCCAAAAGACAGTCTATTTTATAGATAAGTGGCCTATAAATTTCCATCAGGAAAAAAAACAAATACTACTTCCTGAATTTATTTTCTAAAAGTACAAGTTTCAGGAAAAGACTTTGAAAAGAAAAATGTGTTGCTTAAAAAATCAATGATTAAAGTTTTTTCTTCATCTAAACAAGCAACTTAGACATCAAAGGAATGCCAGTAACAAAGACAGGCCATGTGGCTTATGACATGATGTTTTGTTCATTAAGGTTTCAATTTTTCTGATAATTGTAGACTCACAAGCAGTTGTAAGAAATAATACAGGAGCTCTAAGTCCCCTTTACCTAGTTTCTCCAATGGTACCATCTTACAAAACTATACTACAATAATAGGACTGTGTGTTTTTAAGCGATATTCTCCAGGCTGCCTATCAACGCTATCTATCCACTGTGGATACCAGCAACCCCCACCTTTAATTTGGACACACTGCACCTTGCTCTGCACATGTACTGTTTAAACTTATATGATCCATACACAACAGGCAAAGCGACTAAATCTTTGTTTCTCTAAAATACTGGAAAATTTATGAACTCACCAGGGACTTTAAAGATTACAAAATGAGAGAAGTTTCTAAGGTTTGTGCTTATCAAATAAATACAAAGAGCAACACAGGTTGATTTCTACACCCAAGTTTCTAAACCACCATCTACTGAAATCTTTCTAGGAAAACAATTCCATGTCCTCATTTAAGACTGCCTATAAATGGTTGCCACCTTTAAAAAACGAGTCCTGTAGAATCACCTTAGATCATTTATGAGATATTGGCCTGTCTAGTACGATGTCATGAATTTCATAGTAGTAAGTACTGTTTGGGAAGTAACAAGGATTTTTCTCCTTCTCAGAGCCGTGCTTCTTCTGAAGTTTATGAGACTGTGTTTGTATTTGGACTGTTATGTCTAAAATCAGATCAAGCGCAGGCACTCGCAGATATGCAACACGTTGTGGCTCACTCCGGGATGTCAGCAGAGCGACAGTTTGATAATCAGCTCCTGGAAGAGCAAGGTCATGAATCAACTTGCATTGAATGAACCCTCTACTCCTCTAAAACCTGTCATTGGGGGATACCAAGCAGAAAGCTGTCACTGGAGTGTGTTATCTTTGCAGAAGGCTGTCAAGCATTGCAAGTCAAGAAGAAAACCCCATCAGAGAGCCCAGTGAATTGCCCTTGGCAGGCTTCCAAGATTTGGCCCTCAGGTAATACTCGGTTCCAAGATCTGATTACACATCCACCACATTCAGGTAGTCTAGGGGGTCATACTCCCATCGCAGGTCTCCAAAGGACACTCCTATCTGGAACACAAAGCAGGACTCCTGGTAGAGAAATTCTGAATGGTGACAGTAAACACGAATCTCCATTGGGAGAGTGGAGGGGGTGGCTCTGAAGAGTTGCGCACAAATAACATACAAGTACACATGTTGGTGCTTAAAGCTATTCAAATGGGTGAATCAAGGACAGGACAGGGTAGGCTGCGAGGCTTGCTTATGGGGACGTTATGAAAAAGCGCCCACAGCCACGAATCACTGTGCTGAGTGAGGGGAAGAAGCAATTCTATGAACAAATCAGGCCAACCCAAAGCAATCAGCCATGAAAAATCCCAGACAAATGCTGCTTTGTAGAAAGAAAATGGATCCCAAAAGCTGCACGTGCAGCCAGTTAGGTTAAAAGAAAAGGCAACTCTTGTGGCCCACAACATGAATGGGACCAAAGGGCTGATGGTGAAGTCACTTTAGCCCAGCATGAGGGCTCCAGGCAGCCAGGGCTCCTAAAGGGGTAAGAACAAAGGAATCAGAGAGAGAGAGAGAGAGAGGGAGGGAGGGAGGGAGAGAGAATGTTTGTTTTAATGAGTTAGGGTTATAAGAGCTCAGAATTAAGATATGAAATATATCTTAAGTATCAACAGAAGCCCGGGCACTAGGCAGAGATGTCTCATGACATCCCAATGTTCATTTTCAGCCCAGACAGTGGGGCACAGCAAAGCACTCTCTGCTGCTTCAGCCTATAATAGTTGCACAATAGTGACTAAGAGGGAGGCAGCTCTTTGCATTAGCAACGGTGAAAACATAACATTTCACAGTCACGTATCCCAAAGCCCAATTCACAAAGGTGGGTAAAAGCGGACAATCAAACTGCTGGTCTGAGGGCTAAGACCAGAGAAATGAGGGCATGTCCGTCTGCATTCTAACGTAGTAAGAATTACTAACAAAGCAAAATCTCGAGGAAGGTAAGAACTTTATTTTTAACTTGTGCATCTGTACAGCACAGTCCCGCAGAGACTCCTGCAATAACAGAAGGCCCTCTTCTGTCCTGTCTGAGATGGTGGCTGCCACCCGTGTGGCTAACAAGCCCTTGAAATGCGGCTAGTGAAATACTAGTCAAAGGGATATACAGATTCAATGCAACCCGTATCAAAATCCTAATGGCATTATTCGAGAAGTAGTAAAATCAATCCTAAAATGCCTATGGAACCACAGATGATCCCAAGCAGCCAAAACAGTCCTAACAAAAAAAGAACAGCGCTGGAGGTAAACTAGCTGCAGTAATCAAACAGTACGGTGCTCGCACAGAAACAGACGCAAAAACCAACAGCACAGAATCTAGACCCCACAAATAAACCCACAAAGAAAGCCAATTAATATTTGACAAGAGAGCCAAGACTACTCAATGTGGAAAGGATAGTTTCTTCAATAAAGGGTGGTGCAAAAACCAGGATTTGCACATATAAGGAATGAAATTGGACCCCTACCTCTACAACTCACAAAAGTTAACTTAAAATTAAAGCCTTAGGGTTGGGGGGTGGGTAAAAAAGATGATGAGATTAAGAAGTACAAATTAATAGTTACAAAATAGTCACAGGGAAATAAGGTTCAGCATAGGGAATATAGTGAATAATATTGTGATAACTATTTATGCTGCCAGGTGGGTACTAGACTTACTGGGAGGATCACTTTGTAAATTACATAAACGTCTGCCACTATGCTGTACACCTGAAACTAATATAAAATAATATTGAATGTAAACAGTAATTTAAAAAAATTTTAAAAGAAAAAAAGTGGATTAAAGCCCTAAACCTAAGACCTGAAACTGCAAAATTCAGAGGCGGTGGGGGGGTAAACATAGGAAAAGCCTCCTTGACATTGGTCTTGTTAATGATAATTTGAAGATGACACTAAAAGTATAAGTAACAAAAGCAAAAATAAACAAGTGAGACTACATCAAACTAAAAAGCTCTGCATAGCAAAAGAAATCATCAACAAAATAAAAAGGCATAATATTATATGTCAGTTATATTTCAATAAACCTGGAAAAAATAAATAAGTGAAGCGACCCCCCCACACACAATAACCCCACAGAGATCTAAATGTGCACCTTCTGTGCTTTCAAACATTGCAAATAGACAATCTAACAAAGCTGGATGGGGGGAAGGCTGGTAAAACCGAGGGAGTGAATTTTAATCTTACTTCATTTTAATTAATTAAAATTTAAATATCCACATGTAGCCATTGGCCACCATGTTGGACAAAAAAATTTGAAAATCCATTCTATATACTTTACATATATTGACTCATTTAATCCTTACAACCCTGTGAGGTTGATACAATTTTATCCACATGTATCATATTTTTAAAATCTGAGGCACAGAGTGGTTAATAAAATTGCCCAAAACCACACAGCTAGTAAAGCAAGAAGCGGTTTCTCACTAAGGGCTGATTGCAAAGCGCTCACTCAGCCAGGCATTTTTGTAGCTCTGTGCAGTACCTAACAGGTAAGTCATGGTTAAGGCAAACACCAGGGACATCCAGAAATGTGTCATGTTGTTTGTGGACAGGTAAAGAAGACACAGCCTACCTGTTTTCCCTGTGTTTTTCATCCAGGTTTTGTTAGAAGACTCATTGTCGAAGCCGTCAAGCTGCAGCTCCTGGTACTCCTCGCCGACCCGAGCATGCTGGTCTGAAATGTCTATCGGAGACTGGTGGTGGCCCCCGCAGCTGACACTAGAGGTCACCCAGTGCTCAGGCCCATAGGCACCTGTTGAAAGAAAACAATACTTCAATCCTCAGGGCTCAAGGGTCAGGGATGGAATAAATTAGAAGTAGGAAGACAAGCCCTGCACCTCCCAGGTACATTTTCCTACATGTCCCCACTCCCAAGACGTCAGTGCACTGGGAACGGATTGTGGCTCCAAGCCCTGTGCTCGACACGGCAGGAAGATTTGAGAAAAGACAGATTACTTAAGATAGTTGGCTTTGTGATTTGTAATCAAACATTTGCTAACTTTATTGCTAATCAGATTAAAAGAGCTGATTTTGAAGGGTTGTCAGAGTTGTTCATATTTTTTTTAAGTTTCCTAAAATAAGCAAAGCATTTATTCACCAGAAAATGCCTTCCCCAATTTAGCATGTTTTGCTGTTGTTGTGAACAGTATTCAACACACAACTTTCTTCTTGGTTTCTAGGAGTTAGTGAACCGGAAAAAGAAAAAATTAAAAACGAAAGCAACACAACACTGGACAAGAGTCATCACCAATAATGTCAGCAAGGAGGCCGGGTGTTCCTTTGGCAGACTGGGAGCAATTCGTCAATGTGGCCCGAGTTTGGACCCTTGTGAACTAAGGAACGCACTCTCCTTCCCTCTCTGACATGGGAGACAGGGACATAAAGTTACCTTTGCACTGGGCTCATATAAAGACTCTTTGGGGACACATGCCACAGAAATAAAGAAGAGACTGCAGCTGTAACGCAGGCCCTAACGGGTGCCCGTCAGAGCAGGAAAACACGCTGTGGATGTTCCTCCGCCCTCTTTGGAAATGAACTCCTCTGGGGGTGGCGATGTCTAATAAGTTGATTACTAGTTCTGAGATGTTTCTGTCTCCAAGCTTTAACTTTCTTGACATGACAAGCAGGACTATCTTGTTGGAAAAAAAATAAGATGCTTTCCTAGAAAGATTAAGATAAATCTCTTTTTGAGAGTTTGACATAGTGTTAAGTCTAAACTTTTACAACTTTTAGAAGATAGCACTTGGGCTATCTCAATAAAGTGTAGTGTGTATATATACATACACACACCTACACATGTGCTCCTAGGTTTTTAAGCCTTACATTTCTTCACATATCAGACCAAAGGGATTTTAGGAGACAAGACCAACCCATCCAACACCCCATATTTTTGTGCCTTGCTGTATACCAGCCTTGTACAATGGACAACAAAAATACCTTATGGCAAGTCTCTCTCCTACTAAATAAGAGCCCAAACCTGTGCCCAACGCACCATCACACGCTTATTTGCCACGGGTTTCCCCATCCCCCTAAGTCTGATTGAGCTCACCGCTGTTAAAAGCAATGGAACCATTGCCAAAAAAGAGGCAGACTCAGAAAATATTTTCAGTCCTGCTAATGGAAGCTTCATGATCGCAAGAACAATTGACATAGCTCCCTAAAAATGATTCACAGTCTTGCTATCTGGCAAATAACCTCATCCAAACAGTAAGATAAAAGACACTATCAGGAAAAAACTGTTCACCAATTGGCAAACATTTAGCAACCTTGGGGCATCTTTCAAAATCATTTACAAGTGCCATAACACCCACTAGAAAAAGTTAACATCGCCATTTAGCTGCTGTAGGACTCCAACTAAATGCGGAATGATCAAGGTCTTTCCACTCATGTTGCTTCGCCTCTTGGTCAAATTCCCTGCAGACGGTGATGAGTCATATAGGAACAGAGCGTGTTTGCCTGTGTTCCAGACCAACTTGATTTTCATGATGCATCAATATATTTGAAGAAAAAAAAGGAGGGGACAAGAGGACTTAATGAGTGGCTCCAATTGTCCTGACCACTCTTTAAATTTTCTTCCAGATGGCAAAAAAACACATTGAAAAACTGGATAAAGTGATTGTTGATATATTTGGTGGCTAACCAAAATGTAAATTTGGTTAGCTACAATTGGACATGTATTTTTAAAATATGGAAACTAATGTTTTAAATATTGTGTGTGTGTATGTGTGTAATGCCTTTTGGAAACTCACTAGTACAATGAAATTACACTCTGTGGGGAAAAAAATGCATGATAACATAAATCTAAACATGTTTGGCCCCAAAGAAGCACTAATGCAGCCCATCACCTGTAAACACACATAGACACCTGACAATTAACAAACTAATAAAAAAGGATCCTTTGCAACCTCTGAAAAGTCCTTAATGCTCATCTTACTTCTCATAACCTTAGCACTCTATAAAACTATAACCAGGGCTCCTACCAGTGGGATTCATTCATTCACTGGTAACAATCTGAAGATTTAAGTCGACTACATGCTTGCTTTCACACTACCACCCAATATACGCCCAAATGCAATTTTAATTGAAACTGATCTTCCACTTCAGATTTTAAATTAATTCTTCTTCGCAGGGCTTCATGCTCCAGACACCCTTGCCTTGCAGAAACCCCAGCATCATGAGTGGAGGAAACAGAACACCTTTCCCAAGCGTGGGGGTATTGATTACCTACTCTCACATCGAGGCTCCACGGCCAGTCCACACTGCATAAATCTCTTCGGTGTTAAGACACTTTATAAAGGACTGGGAATTATGTCATTAATCATTTGCCGTTGCACAAGTCTCACAGTATTGAATGCTTTGTTTTTCAAAGTGTTGAATAAATGCTTTTAAGTTAAAAACACAACACTAAATAAAGACTGTGGTTAACTTAAACCTAGTTTTTTTGGGGGGGGGTACAAACCAGCAAGAAGCCTTCCTCTCCCAGGTATGACATTACCCATCAAAACAAGACAGAAAAGTCATTTGCACTTTAGATTCCTTATTGACTGCTGCTTGAAGGAGCAGGAAATCCGCATTTTGGCAGCTGGACCCAACAAACTCCGAGATAGCAGCCGCCTAACCTACAAGGCTCCGCTCTCAAAGGGGGTGGGTGAGGCACAGGGTGGAGCCCACAGGGCAGTCTGGGCTCTGCCCAAGGTAGCTTCCCCTGCTGAGAATCTTGCAGGAATGAAGCCTTGATGGAGACATGCTGCCAACACATCAGTACCAAAGAGTCTAACGGTTTAGAGTGAGTTTCTCACTCAACTATGTTGAGAAATATTTTCTTCTTAACAAATTCAACAAATGCATCTACGACCCTGGATCAAGGTCTGATCTCAGAGTAAATGTCCCCTTGTCCGGGAGGCTTCCCGGGGACATGGACAGGGGTCCTGCACAGTCCCAGCAATGGGCTCTCGGTTTCCTCTGGACATGTTATTACTGTGTCATGTACTGTTTATTTGTCAGTGTCTGTCTTCACCACAAGGCGGTTACTTTATGAGAGCAGGTTCCTTCTCCATCTGTTCAGATTTATCCCAGCCTAGCACAGGGCCTTAGATAAAAATACTTTTTTGTGTGTGTGGCACAAATAAATGAACTGGAAGATGAGATTAAAGACTTGCGTAGTTCTGTCCTCTAATGATAATACAGCATGTTATCTGTGCATTGTTTTGGTTTTAATTTTATACTTTTAGCTTCTGATGTCTTACTAACTCTTTCTCACTCCCTTCATCTCAAGTTTCAGGACATCAAACAGAAAATTAAATATTCTCATCCCTATTTGTTAACACAATGAACAGCGATAAGGTAAAATAAGCTGAAAATATGCACTGTGCGTGCTGGAATCTGTGTGCCAGTGTAACAAGCCCAAGGGCGACTATAATTTGTAAAAGAAAGGAATGTGATAGAACTTTGCTTTCAATGCCTTTTGTGAAGCATAATTATTTTTAAAGTTCTCTCTCTTTTTTTCTCTGTTTTAACAGAGCTCCCTAATCAAAGAAGGTCAATCAAAATGAAAACTTAAGTCTTGTTAATCAATTCATCACTGTATTCATTTAAAGATTGATTCGACACTTGCTCATTGCCAGCCCCATGGCTGAGAAATGGGCGCCAGGGAGCAGGGCTGTCCCAGTTCCCTCGGGCAGCAAACGCTGCCTGCGGCTCTGTCTTCTCATCTGTACAACACGAAGAGTTAACCGTCCACCTCAAAGGATGTTGTGAAGATTATATGAGATAATCCATGTAGTTTTTATATATATATATGTCTTTATTGATCTCAGAGAGAGGAAGGGAGAGAGAGAGAGAAACATCAATGATGAGAGAGTCATTGATCGCTGCCTCCTACACGCTCCCAACAGGGGATCAGGCCCGCAACCCGGGCACGTGCCCAGACCGGGAATCGAACTGCGATCTCCTGGATCCTAGGTCGATGCTCAACCGCTGAGCCATGCCTGGCTGGGCCATGTAAAGTACTTTTAACAGAGGCAAACAATAAAACTCAGTAAGGGGTGGCTGCTACAATTACGGTCATTGTCATGGTTATAAAAAGTGCTTAAGTCCTGGAGAGCCTGACTGTACCATGGAGGGAACAAACGTGCAGTCCAACCAAGGGCTAAGGCAGGTGGGGGCAGGCATTTTGCGGGATACAAAGAGAGAGGGGGGTCTCCCTGAGGAAAGGACTTACAGAGGAGGGGACACTAGAGGCCACCCACTCCCTGAGTGCCGAGAACTTTACTAGGCCCTGGTGCTTCCCACTTGGGCAGAGGGCAAGAGTCAAAGATACAACTGACCGCTCCGTGAGGTGGAGTTAATCCAGCATCAGCTGGACTTAGTGACCCACTTCCAAAGAAGAGGGCAGGAAAGAGAAAATCAGCTACTTCCAGAGGAGAAGGCTGGTGAATAGATGCCACCGTAGCCAAGCCGGGAAGGTTCACGTCGCGTGCGCTATCACGGACCATCGTGGTAAGGAGGGCAGGGCACTTGGCCTCCGTGGGATTCTCTCTCAAAATCCGTGATCCTAGTCCAGTCACCAGGGAGCCCCCCGAGACACACCCAAACCAGAGAACATTCCACAAAACACTTGGCCGACGCTCCTCAAAAATGCCACGTCCATGAAAAACAAGGAAAGACTAAAAGAACTGTCACAGACCAAAGACGACTAAGGAATCACGACAGAAACTGCAATGCGCTATTCTAGATTTGCGGGGCCAAACAGAC